GGGTATCAGCCCTCAACCAGCGCAAGAGAGATTGACGTATGCCCTTTGAAAAATGTTACAATCGTAAAAAATTGACAAAACATTTTGCTTTTGTAGTGGCCCCGGCGATGACCAAAGCAAAAAAAAAAAAAAAACAACTAATATGCCTACTGCTGAAATAAATTGTACACTACATACAGAGCTATCGATACCTTCACGTTCTTTTTTTTCTTTTTTAGATTGCCGAGTGTGCCTAAAAAGGCTCCCTCACATGGTGAAAGTGGCAAAGAACCGCACCTGGGCGTGGGTTAAGTACGCCACTACTGGGGCCCCTAAGGTAAGGGTGGGGCCCCTTGAGCAGGTTTGGCCTCCCCCTTTTCAAGATCCTGGATACGCCACTGCTCCATGCCGAAGGGACCCAAGGCCCCAGCCGAAAAAAGTTGCCCTACATGGACTCATATGGGCCTGCTGGGGCCCGAGGTGCGCCCTCCTAGTCTTTTTGATCACTATTTCAGCTCATTTTTTAGGCTGTCTTCGGCGATCTTAAGGCCCCCAGATTCGAATAGGGAGGGCACGGACCCGTGTGCCCCCCCCCCCCTTTGTGGGCACCATTATTTGATAACGCGAAAGAAACTTAGGCGATAACGCGAAAGAAACCTACAAACTAGCTAGTGGCTGGTCAGGTAATTTGTGGTGGAAATAGTTTTGCGACCTTCCCACTTAATAAGCCAATGGGAAATTGAGCTACGCCTCTTTCTCAGATATAGTCAGACTCAACTCTTTGCAACGTCGCTTATCATATAAAAAAATCGATGAAGTATTAACTGAAAAGCTGAATCCGTGACCTCACGTCACACCCTGAGGTCATCTCAGGCAATAAAAAGTAATTAACAGTTCGACGGCAACTTTTGAAAGCGAAATGCGCTCGAGGCTGGAGCGATGAAAACATCTGATCTTGGGTGTGTAGCTTACGGATACAGATCGACTGATATGCAGCACGACCTGCGGTCAGGTCATGATCTTGTCCTTTAGCAAATATTCAAGATCGCCTTTTAAAATCAGATCACAAATCATACGACTAGAACATGACAGGTACTGGTAAAAAATACGACATGTTCCTTCTGGGTTAAGTTAAGTTAAGATGTACGCACAATCGCAGCCAGCGCCACATCCACCGTCACCGTCACCCCACTACTGTCACCATCAACCCTCCCCCCCCCCCCACGGCACCACTAGTGCCGCCCCCGCCCCCGCCCGCAACACCGCCACCACCGCCACCGCCCGCAGTATGAGCGGCACGTCGAACGAGACAGCACTGGTAGCGGAGCTCACCACCGGAGACCAGAGACCACGGACTACGTCCAAGGAGATTGCAGTCGACGGACAACGAGTTAACAGACCGCAGAGAAGGAGACGAGACCCACAGGGCCACGGGCCCGTCTGATCGCGAGCCGGACAATCTGGTTGTAGGATAATCGAAAGGCAGGTAAGATGCAAAGGGGTCAATTCTTGTCAGGTTTTACCGTGGTTGGTTGTTAATTGCTCGAAGCGGTAATGCTTCATTGATATATTGCCGATAATTTGGCGTTTTATTCTCAGACAAGGTGGCTGTAATGCAAACATGCATATTGGTAGTGCATATGGTAGGTATAATGCATTATGTACATACATAAAAGTGTAGGTATTTGACGTTTGTTTTACTATGGTACGAATTTTTTTGTAATGTTGATGCATGTTTGATTTTCCCGTTAGACAGACGGTCTTTCACCCTTACAAACAGCCTTTTACAACTTCGCTTTTCATTGAAATTACATGGTGTGAACAATGATCAATGCATCTATTGTATCTTAACAAATAAATATAAGGCGTAAAACACAACAAAACATTAAGTAACTCAGTTAAAAAAGGGCCAATCGAAGTTAAATACGACGTCATCAATCATTGGAGGCTATGGTCATCAGTTTATGCTTATCATTTTCTTTTCTGAACAAGCAGGCGTTGTTTAGCCCTGGAAAACGATTTAGCAAATTGATTTGAGATCAGACATGCCATAAAAAAATAAACAGAACTGTTGACTTAGGTATTTGCAGAAGACCTGTAGACATGTGAACTCCTTCCATATATTTGTCATATTCGAATGTATTCCGTGACCTCATAGGTTCCCCCAGCCAAATTCGAAATCAGCGTAAAAAAGCCCTTCACATAATACCTGTCTGTTCCAGATACATCCTATGACTTTTGATACATGTCTCGAATAGATTGCATGAATCCTGGCAGGTCAGGCGAAGGTTCGTAACTTGGAATGTTTCATATCTAAGTGGATTCCCCGTCCCCGGTCATTGTGTGTTATTGAGCTAAATACGAGAAGGTTAGGTAGAATTAGGTGCATATGCTTATAGGTATATGAAGCATAATAGGTATCCAATGCAATTGCACTTCTTTCCTCCATCATACTATCATAAACTCAGATTTGTTTTTCAATAGAAAAACACAATTCTAAAGAAAAGTGTTAACTATTGACAACAAACCTTCGGTTACTAGACACACCGTCAAATATTTTGCTCGATTCCTCTTTCCCCTGGCACGAAACGAACACCCGATGCTTTTGGTGTGTTGTCTCAGCTACTTCGACGTCTACCAAGCTTCAAGCTTGGTAGCTAGCTTGGTAGCGGAAGCTTGATTTACCTGAGAGGGACGTACTACGAGAATATCTGCTGTAGCCTGTAGGTATACTGATTATGCGCATTTAGCAAAGTTTTGTCTGCCCCTGGCATATGACTGTGACGTCATGGAAGCGGCACGTGCCGCGAGGCCGGGCACCGCCCTGCTCCCCCCCCCCTCTCCCCGGTGGCAGCTGCCCCGCCCGCATCCCCGCGGTCCGCGGCAGCCGTCACAGGCGCACAGGTGACCTCTGGCCACCGCGGGCAGTGGGCGGGGGGGGGGGACGTTTAGTTCCGGCCACGGAAGGCACACGGGCAGTGGACCTTTCACCGTCACCGTGTCTCGGTCATTCAGAGACGTGAGAATGGAGAAATCACCACTCCTGGGACGGCGCAACACTTCGAACTGCTGCAACGTTGCACTGCCACGGCGGCAATTACACGACAGTGCAGGGCGTCCGGTCATGATGCACCGAAACGACCTGGCTTGGCTCTCATTTCACGCTTCGACGTAATTTCTCCCAAGTTGTGTTGGTAAGTTTCGAATTGAGCTCCAACATCCGATTAATGATAAAAACCGTGAGACAATTATGCATAAACAACTAATCTAAAACGTGCAATATTGTAAGTAGGTACATACACAGCTTTACGTTATCCATGCTTCAAATGAGAGGGACAAAGAAGCATTCGGTATAAGAACACCAGTCACCCCTCGTCATGGCCGAAAAATGGCAAGTAAAACTTGGCACTGCCATTTAAAAGGTGCTGCAATTGCTGAGATGCGCAGACTGGCACGATGTTGCGTGCCGTTCGCTCCCATTTCGGCCGCGATAGAGGACGTGGCGCGCCAGGTGTAGCCGTGACCCACAGATCGATCTGACCCGCATCAGTCGCTTCCCAGCAACACTCTCTCCGGTCCGCTGCGGCGCATTGGCTGGTTCGGCGTAGGAAGAATCAGTTCACACATCGCAAAATACACGTCGTCCTAGAAATAACGCAAACGCAAGTGACAGATGACGAGATGGAGCCTAAAAAGGACACTCCTGTCTTAATTACGTTCACGTGGAAACGAAATCATCAGAGTGAAAAATATTTTGTTGGTCATTCAAAACATAAATGTTACCGGACACGCACAGACCATTACACTCATAAATCATGTATTCCAACCAGACAAAAGCCATCTTCCGGGTTCCATATCCGGTCAATACAAATAACCAGACCCCTCCCCAGGCCCATCCCACCCACTCTATTCACAATAAACTGGAGGTCCCACACTGGACCGGCCCGGGCATCTATGGAAGGGAGGATCGGCAAAACGGACCCGCCCCACCGACACAAAGTTACAGGACACCTACAGAAGACACAGCGCGTGCTGGGTGTGGGTCAGCCTGTCGTCATGTGCAATCAAAACACGAGTACGACAGTAGACCCTTCATAGCCCCCATCATTCACACTCCATACTGTGCTGCGCCTACACCCTCCCGGGCCTCCTCTGCAGCGCAGAAATGCGATCGCGGAGACCACGAAGCCATACATGCGCAGCAGCCACGGCGTCGACTACCACGGGATGCCCCCGCTTCCCTGGCGACCTTCGCCACGTGATGATTGTTTCGACCACGCCAGCGTCCTGGGCAATTCTCCCGCCCACGGTTCGTCGCATATGACAATCGTCGCCCCCGGTCCTCCTTCAATGAACGTAACTCACGCACTGAAATCACGAGGAGGGCTGGTCACGTGACCAGCCCACAGCGAGATGTGTATGTCACGTGCTCGGAGGACGGCAGTCAACAACTGCTATTGTTTCTGGGTGGTAATGAGACTCGAGTCACGTGATAATGACGTCACGAGGTTCCTGTGGACTGTATGTGACGTGTGTAGCATACCGTGACTGGCCGCTGAGCGAGGGAGGCACGGTTAAAAGTATTTGATGCATATTGCCTTCGGCCATCAACTTCTGTCGAGTCCGTGGATAAAATGCTTGCCGATTTCGCGCTGGAGTGTCGGTCACAGCGGACGGCGGCCTTTAGACTTTTCTGTAGAACTGGCCGGCACGGCACATCTAGCAACTAAACGATATTGCGTCGCTTGGCCAGGTTTTTGTGCCAGACATGCTGCAGCCCACGATTTTTCTTTAACATTTCACTCCTTTTGTTTCAGAATGAAGAGGTTACACACATCCCTTTCAATAGCGATTCTACTGCTGGGAAACGTCCAATGCATCTCAGGTATGCATCTATTATTCACAACACATATACACGTTTCCTATGCTTTTGGCGATATCCACATTTCATTCAACTTTTCACTCAGGAAGTGGATGGGCAAAAGACCGTGCAAGCAACGGTCGGACGGACCCGATGACCAATGTGCAGCCTTGTTTCAGCCGTGTGCGAGGGCACTGAGACGTTTGAGCGGGTCACCGGTGTACTGCTGCACTCGGCAACGCAGATCCCGCTCTACAGCTCCCAGGGAGCCGTCACCACCCAGTGCACCAGCAGGTCAGTAAAGAAAGACAACACCACCAGGTCAGTGGAAAACCACCACACAGTGCATCAGTAGGTCAGTGGAGAAAGACACTAGTGCACCAGCAGGTTAGTGGAAAACGTCCACACAGTGCACCAGCAGGTCAATGGAAAAACACAGGGCACCAACAGGTCAGTGGAAAACCACTACGCAGTGCACCAGCAGGTCAGTGGAGAGAGACACAGTGCACCAGCAGGTCAGTGGAGAAAGACACAGTCCACCAGGCACCAGGAGGTCAGTGGAAAACCACCACACAGTGCACCAGCAGGTCAGTGGAAAAACACAGGGCACCAGCAGGTCAGTGGAGAAAGACACAGTCCACCAGGCACCAAGAGGTCAGTGGAAGAGTGCCGCTAGTAACAAAACAATGAAACCGAGTAAAACATTAGGTTAAACGTTGAAGTCGACGTCTGTGTTAAAATTGACCCATACCTACTGAACCAACATAAGCAGATGAACAAATTCGCCGTATATCCAATCAGCTAGCCACCAGCACTCACGACTCACAGCACCCTTCTCATGCGCTCATGTAGTTAGTAGCGTGGCATACCTACTGTAGAGTCGCGCACACAGGTGGCTTCCTGCAGTGCATGAATTACTTCCCACGCACCTTACCCAATTCCGGTCACATTCCACGGTGCATTGTGTCCCGTACAATAAGATTCGTGACGCGGACCCACGTGCCGTAGTTTCGCTCAGATCGCCTCAGATCCTAAGCGTGAGCTGAAATGGACTTCATGCGAGATTCATGCTACTGCAGGGGTGTAATGAGTCCTCGGATGCGATGGATTTTGGGACTTTTTACCAGAGGTTCCATTGTGTGAAGTCGAAGTGTATTAGGGGAGTGAATGTATTCCGCCAGCAGAATTGTGCATTGTAGCTTCACTGTCTGGGTTTTTGATGGGATAGGGCTTTCGACGAATGCAGTGAAATATGCAAATATGCATATTTCACTGCATTCCGAAATATGCAGTGAAAATTACAAAGGCATTAAAAATACATTGCCGGAGACAGACCTTTTCCAATCCAATATCTATTCAATCGATATTGAGGTCCACGATAGGTATAACATAATCCATCACCTTCTGCAAGCTGCGCTACAGCACCGTGCAGTGTGCACTGTGCAGTGTCTGCTGCCTGGCATCGGCAGAAACCAAGACACTGGGTCAAAGCTGAAAGCACTACCACACATTCAACATTGCATGTGACTTGTGCCTTGTACTCTGCAGATGCCGCGCCTCCACCGCCTGTCCCTCCTTCCTGGTGGACTACGACCGAGGCGCCTGTTTCCGCCTCGACCTGACCTCTGAGGGTCGCACCCACCTGCTCGTACCGGCCAGAGGTCACACGGCCTACTTCGAGAAGGTCTGCCTGCAAGGTGAGCCTACCAGCTCGGCCGTGGCATTATTCACATGGCGCAGAAGTCGTTGCACAGTCAAAAAACGACAAGACGTTTTACAAGACGTTTTTATCAATGTCAGTGAAATCCAGCTAATTTCGAGCTGGTTCGAGAATAAAATCATCAACAAACAACGTGCCGTCGATATCGTTGTGCTTATCATCATTTTGCGCCTCGCTCATGACTTCAACCACTTATCTCGACCACAGCCATCCTGGCGACCCAAAGATCCCGCATGCACTATGATCACTGCATTGATAATCCCTCTCCACTTCCCGCAGCGCCGGCCTGCGGGAAGGCGTGGGTGTTTGAGCGGGTGCTGGGCCGCGAGCTGGCCGGCCTGGATGACCTGGTACTGGAGGAGATCACCAGTCGCCGAACCTGTGAGGAGTACTGCCTGCTCAACCACCAGCTGCCCTGCCGCTCGGCGGAGTTCGTGGCCAGTCAGAGGCTCTGTCGACTCTCCTCCAGCAGCCGACGGACGGCGCCCAACGCCCTGCGCCCGGCGCTGGACACCGAGTACCTCGAGAACCAGTGTGTGCCCCGTGAGTACGTTATAGAGACAGTGTGCGCCCTGTGAGTACCTCTAGAACCAGTGTGTGCCCCGTGAGTACCTCTAGAACCAGTGTGTGCCCCGTGAGTACCTCGAGAACCAGTGTGTGCCGCGTGAGTACCTCGAAAACCAGCATGTCCCGTGTCTCTAAAACCAGCCTTTACTAATTTAGTCAGCCCCGATAATCGCAGTACAATGCTAAACAGTGCCAGAAAGTTATAATGTGATCTAAGATTTAGGAAGAAGTGGGTTTGGTAGGTCCACGTAAGTGCGCTGTATCTAGACCGAGCAGTGCCACTCCAGACTCTTTGGAGCTCCCTTGCGCTTCGCTCAGATTCAGATCACCTTCAGTCGAGTGAAATTGACTCATTGTGATTGCAGATGTAAGCTCGACCGGCTGCGACTGGGAGAAACGACCAGAGAGACAGATGACGTACCGTGATCTGGAGGTCTCCGCAACCAGCAGAGAACGGGTATAGGCGCCCGATTAACAACTTCCCATCGACTTTGTGCTTAATTTCTAAATCGTTTCAAATAGAAGCTCCAACTGCAGTAGGTACCTTTTTTGTTTTTGTTTTGTTGGGTTAGGCCCTTTCGGTCTCACGAGACCTCTTAACCCTCGTCCGCACATGGGGGGGGGGGGTGGTTGCCACCCCCCCCCCCCCCCCAGGTAGTCTTTCTGCTCTGCACTCAACATTTTTAAAGCTAGAAGGCTGATTTTTCGTATAGCTGCTCGTCTATTCTTTCTTGATGTCCACTGAAAATATCAAGTTTCTGTGATTTTTGGTTTCGGAGATATGACCTTGTTTTTCAGGTCATGTCATGACCCAAATGGCCAATTCTCAACATCTTGCGTTTGCCATGGGCCTTGTGAGCTTTTGATACCCTGATTTCGGCCTTTTTTGCCAGTCTTACCTCTCACCTATCATGGAACATGTTGTTCGACGATGTACAGGGGTCAAGGTCAGGGTCAAGGTCAACCTAGGTCATCTAAAATAATTGCGTTTTAGGCAAGCTGAATTTACTTTTTGTGAAGTTTTTTGACTGTATTTTTGGTAAAAGCTTCTCAGATCATGATTTCATGTAATATGGACCCAAAAACAATTGGTGCACACATCAGTATACACACAGACACACACAGACATACAAACACATATAATTGACCTTGACCTAACTTGACCTGAAATGACCTCAGCAGCAAAATTCTGGTCGGGTAGTGTGACAAAGAGGTTCTAGCTGGCTTGGCACCAGAAAACAGCATCGTCATCGGTATTTGATAAGCAGCGCACTTGATATCCAACGGCGACCCAAAACAGCAACATTTTTTAGTTTGACCTGACCTGGAAGGTCAATGACTGACCTGAGAAGGTAAAACTGGGTATCATTGGATTCGTCTCTTCCCAAAGAATCTTTTTGGTCTTTACCGCTAAGCTCTATCTCCAACAGGAACGAAATGGCGCGGGGGGGGTGGCAACCCCCCCATGTGCGTTCTAGGATGGGAAAATGGCATGTGCGGGCGAGGGTTAAAAGCCAGAAGGATGATAGGAATTAGGGGAAGACATTGGTCTGGCCCTGGGTGGGCACGGTAGTGAGTCGTCAGGGCTGAGACCGTATGCAGTACTTTCCAACAATGCAATCTGGCCTGTGACTAGCGCTCCCGACCTGTGGCTAGCACCCGTGAACTGTAACTGACGCCCCTGACCCTCCACCCCTGTCCATTTCAGTGTCAGCGCGCCTGTGAAACAACCTCGAGTTTCCCGTGCCGCTCGTTCACGTTCAGCCCGGCCACCTCCCGGTGCTGGCTCTCCAGCGAAGACACCGCCTCCGCGGGACCATCGGCACTGGTGCCGACCCGCGGGGCGCTCTACTCGCAGCGGACACCTTGTCATGACCGTGAGTAGCGCTGCGCGACTACCAGGCACCGCTGGTACCGAACAGTGGAGCATTGATCTCTCGCAGCGCAGCCCTTTGCCACGACCGTGAGTAGCGCGGCGTACACCAGACAGGGCTGGAGCGAATATCGAAGGGCTGCTCAGCAGGCACTAATTAGAGCCGTTTGGTATTTAAGGTGACCGTTTCCTGACCTCCCTCTACTCTCTCCCCAGTGGAGCTGCTCTGCTCCGCGGACCGGATGACGCTCCGACTGCGCACGGCCGCCCCATTCACCGGTCGTATCTTCTCACTGGACGCACCGAGCACGTGTGACGTGCGCGGCACGGGCCAGCTCACCACCGAGGCCACGTTCATCTACCACGACGTGAGATGCGGGGGCAGCTGGACGTGGGTCACGGGATCAGATGGACTCCGTTCCATTTTCCAACCCTCCTCACGACCCGTCCAAGGGACCAACGGGACGTGAGCCACTGGACCAACGGGACGGGGCCACGGGCTTAAATTTTCACTTCAAGCGTTAGTGTTTTTGCCAGGGAGTCGGTTATTAACTCCTCCTCCCACTCAGTGACTAGGAAAGCGTGGATGTTGACGTTCGCACCAGTACCACAGATGTCTTGGACATCTGAATATAAAAGAACGGTGGAAAAGTCATGCCGTGTTGTTTTCCATCCTCCGAGTTCTAGTTGTCGGACAAATGATTGCCAGAAACAGTGCACAGTGCACTCCAAGATTACTTTACTCCAAGATTACTTTACTATACACTCCTCTGACCACGCCGCCTCCCTCTTCCCGCCAGCGTCGCTGCGGCGTTGTCCGTGAGAGTGTCGGCTCGTTCACGGCACTGGTGGCAGTGCAGCACCACAGCACCATCCAGAAGCGCGAGGACAGCGCCATCAAACTGCTCTGTTCATACGAGGCCACCGAACAGACGGTCAGCAACGGCATCACCCTGCTTACAGAGTGAGTGGACGCAGCGCGACAGCGCAGAAGAAATACCAGCTCTCGGCAGGGGAGATGGATCTGGAAGCTTAAGTGGGCGCATTTGACTGGATAGCTTGCTTAGATATAAAGAATCTGACGACGGTGTTGTCAGCAACCATCTGCGCCACTTTTCAGTAAAGCAACATGTTGATAAGTGAATTACTGCAAGAATCACGATTCACGCCACCAGAACAACAAAGCTTGAAATCAATCCCCTGTAATAAAACAGCACCCCCCCCCCCCCCTCCCCCAATGTTCCAGTCGGATTGACGGCGGCCTGGTGACGTCCTCGGTGAATGGCACCGCACCCACGCCGATAGTGTCTCTGCACGTGAGAGACAGAGCGGGGGAAGAGGTCACCGGCACGGCGCTCGGAGAGCCGCTCTACCTCAGCCTCGAGATGCAGGACAACAGTGAGTGCGCGACAGGGTGTCATAGCCAGGCACCAGCTGAAAACATGGTGGTAACCATGCAGGACAGCCACAGTTCCTGTACTGGAGGCATGGCCTTTCTCCAATCAGGCAGCATCTTTATAGATAGTTGTAGGTGGCGCTAGTGAGCGGCAGCTGGACGAGCCCCGTGTCTCGGAGCCGGGGCTGCGGGACGAACGGGCCGCGGATCTGCTCTGCGCCAGGAGAGAGGCCGTCATCGCCGGTATCGCCGCCGCTGTCTTCCTACAGGTGAGCTGGACCACTGTGTCTAACCAGTTTGACTCAGTTAGCTGAAGTTTTATACAATCACCGCTCCAAATGTAAACCCGGCCACAATTGCCGGAAGTGAAAGCGTGCGACCCACGCTGAGTAGGTGACGCCCGTTCCCGTCGGCCGTCTGTCTCCAGGCCGTGATGCTGGTGGTGTGCTGTTCCTGCGTCTACTGGCGGCGGCGGAGCAAGCTAAGGGAGACTCTGCCATCGACCAGCACTCTGAACAGTAGCCGACAGCGGCTGGGGCCGGCCGACGCCGAGCGACCGGCCACGCTGCGGACACTGCGCTCCCTGACACGAAGACACTGACACAGGGGTACTAACACACTGACACGGATAACACCGAGCGATCGGCGACACCGCGGACTCTGCGCTCCCTGACACAGAGACACTGACACAGACACACTGACACACTGACACGGCTGACACCGAGCGACCGGCCACGCTGCGGACTCTGCGCTCCCTGACACGGAGACACTGACACAGGGACACTGAAACACTGACACGGCTGGGGCCGGCCGACGCCGAGCGACCGGCCACGCTGCGGACTCTGCGCTCCCTGACACCGAGACACTGACACTGGGACACTGACACACTGACACCGAGCGACCGGCAACGCTGCGGACTCTGCGCTCCCTGACACGGAGACACTGACACACTGACACTGACACGGTGACACTGACACACTGACACGGCTGACACGACTGATACCGATTGACCGGCCACGCTGCGGACACTGCGCCCCCTGACACGGAGACACTGACACGGTGACACTGACACTGACACGACTGACGCGACTGGGGCCGGCCGACGCCGAGCGACCGGCAACGCTGCGGACACTGCGCTCCTTGACACGGAGACATTGAAACAGGGGTACTAATACACTGACAACACTGGCAAATGAGACACTGACACCATGATACTGACAGAGACACTGCCATGGGCGGACACTGCGCTCCATGACACGAAGACACTGACAAGAGGACAGTGACACAGAGACAAGGGGTGGGAAGGGGACAGTGACAGGGCCACGGACAGATACACGACGAGGATAAAGAGACACAGACGTCAGACAGACGACAAATAGACATTCTCACGAATACGACAGACACTGACACGGCGATCGTGAACCAAGCCGGACAAATGTGCCGCCATGTTGCCCGTCACTGAAACGCAGCCGTATTCAGGGTCAGACGCCACAAACGGAGTATCGAGCCGGACCCGTGAGTATCGACACATGTCGGTGAGAGCGCCACAGAATGTGCTTAGAGACGCTTATTAACCATTCATCGGGAGTCTCTGATGGTCTCCGAATTACTGATAATGAGAAGTGATTAGAAACGATAATGTATGTGCAGCATTTCACGACACAGGGCAACTTTTAACACCCGCTTACGTGTCTACCGCTTATATGTAAACTGATGTGTTGAATGTTGTGCGATGCTCATTGCTCAGTGTTCACACTACCATCCTGTTCATCGTCTGCGCTCGGTAATGGAACATTTTAGGGCATCTTAGTCCACATTTAGCCGCGCGTGTGAGCGAGTGATGTATTTAAAGCTACCAACGTTCCTAGTTTGTAAAAATAGAACGAGTCCGAGACCACCAGTTTCCGGAGGTAAATGGGTGCAGAAAGAACGATTACCCAGAATGTCAGACGCTACCAAGCCGAGTGGCCCGATCCGAACTTCAGCCTGAAAAGGACGGAGCGAAGGAAAACTAATCGGTGGTGTCGATACATGTCCACTGGATGCCTCTCATCGTGCATTATTGCCATGCACTCCGCATTTTAATATTTAAGTCGCGATAACGCTAGTAAACTATTGACCGCATGCTATATTTATGTGATCGTGTGCATTATTTATAGCTTTAATAATACATCAAGCGATATACAAATGATTTTAACAAAAGTGTATAACGGCACCTATTAGTTGTATGCACCAGCAGCGGCCGATAACTATTCCATCATTTCCTTCTCTTCTATAACCTCTGAGTTGCGGCTGACTGAGACGGTTGCCCACTGTCTGGCATGTTCATCGCGGGCGCTGCAAACCATGGTGTTTGCCGTCTAGAGGATTTGCTTGCTATTTTATTTTAGACGGTCATGAAACGTAGCCTGCCAACAATGTCGCAATCGCGAAGAATATAATTTGTTGCAACTTAATTCAAATCATTTCTGTGTGGAAGCCTTCGATCAGTGAAGAAATAACATTCTAGAAAAGGTCAAATGTAACATTTATTTTCCTTATGACAGATAATGGGGCAAAAATGACAACCCAAAGAAGTTTCATAAAAAGGGTTAACGGATTTCAAGTTAAAGGGACTATCCCACCTTCTAAAATGTTGTTAAAACCAGTTAAATTGTGCCCGACTTTATAGATTGGATGACCAGGAACACGGTTCTGGCATTTATTTTTCATTAAACATCTTAGGCTTCCCATATTCCAAACACAAACTTTCAAATATGTGACGTCACAGCCCAAAAGTACCTCCTTCCCCAGGCCACATACTGTCATAAAGCTGATTCTTTTTACTCTGTAGGCACCACAACAAAGTTCAGACCAAGTTTTAAGCGATTTTTCAACGAACAAACCCATTTAAATCAGAATGACTAAACGAGGTGACGTCACACTAACGGTCGCTCCATGTTGAAGATAGGGCCTTGTACAGTCTGTCTTAAAAGTACCGCGCAAAGTGACGGTGGATCCATCGAGCCTGACTGAGGAAGGGCGTGCTAAATTTGGGTCACCGAAGCAATTGACATCCTCGTCCATTCCTTAGGTCAATTGGTCGGTGACTTTCAAATTAAAACAGACCCTTTCTCGGTCAGGCTTGATGGATCCACCGCCAGTTTGCGCGGTACTTTTAAGACAGACTGTACAAGGCCCATTTTCAAATGAAGGGAACGAATTTCTTCAACACCAAGAGGCCGCGGGGGTTGCAACCTAGATAGATGGTGGTTTCTGAACCTCGCCGCAAACTTGGCTATCTCAACTCAAACCCCATGTTAAAGGTGGGATAGTCCCTTTAAGGTACCTAACCTAAACAAGCGTTGTTTGCATCAAGCGACTTGAATGTAATAGCAGCAGCTTGACAGCAGCCTAACAAGGGTGTTTAATACACAAGTCTTCAAATGAACGTGCAACCACAAAAATAAACGTTTTCATTGCGATCAGTTTACCTGACGTTTATGCTAAACGCAGCATTTTTCTCAAAACTCATCACGAATGCAAAGGACAATGCCAAGGGAATCCGGTATGGGTTTAAATAGGGTTTCCTCAAGATTCAACGGCCCGACCGGCCTTGTAACTGTAACATAATTCCGCGAACCGTTCCTGGGCTTGCAGACCCACTAGGACCCTGCATTTTCAGAACCACGGAAAGCAACGACAAGGCCCGGCTCACGGCAACTAACACGCCTGCGTTACATACCGATTGAACAGCTCATCATTTTCTTGCAAAATATTCTGGTCTATTTATAGACGTGAAATGGATGGAACAATCAGAACAAACAAAAAAAATCAATAAAAACGGGCAAACGGAAAGTGAAGGGGAACAGGAAGATCCTGTCGCGTTCTCTTGGCCTTTCCAAAGTCAAATGCCTATCAAGTAGGTATACGACCATGTAGGCCCTTGCCGGTGGGTATCAATGTGCTAGATTAACGGAAAGCCTTTAAGTGCCCCACATCACACATGACCCATCACAATACTATAGGTACCATACCTATACTGATTATATATTAGGATATATTATACACAATATTATATACTGAACTCAAAGACCAATTTCACTTTTGCTATCACGTGACCGTGAGTACTGCACATGGAGAATTAATTTCATGATAGGTAAGAGCCCATGGGCACAAAAGCAGCTTGGGCAAACCTTTTGCCTACGCAGCGGACATTGACAGAGTGGTTTCTGAGCCATCAACTAACAACAAAACCATGGAGTCAGTCGGCACTCGCCTCTCACCGACGTGAGAGAGCCGACAGATGTTACCTCTCCGTCAATGCATCGCTCAGAGAATCCCACGAGTCTGCACCGTTGCCATGACAACGACAACGCATGGTAATCAGCTCGCAGTAGCGGCTGTTGCAATGCTAATAGCAATGCAATGCTGTTGCAATTCTAAATCGAAGGGTGAGCTCGAAGACGGAGATGCGCCCCTTCAAGGTCTGCTGAAGGCGACAGTCATCTCACCGCAGGTGACTGGAAGTGGTTTGCTGTAATTTGTTTGTCGTACCTTTTACCTATGTTATGGAATGCTGTGATCTTCAGTGAAATGACTTCTGGTTTGTTGCTGGTGTAGTGTAGTTTGGGTCTATCGTGGTCGATAACAGTTTGCAGTGGGATATTATCTGATGTGTTGAAGTGGTCATGGTTTGTACCGTCAAGTCGAATGCTGTTTAGAGCTCTCTCATCCCTGCTATGGGACATGGGTTTCTTGCTTGTGGTCTTGTTTGGTCTGCTATTGCTTGCTGCTTTGCTGGCAATAGCAGTCTGTCGTGACCCGATGAGCTAAGAGTTAAAACCGCTGCCGCCAGACCTCACAATTGCACTATGAACCCATGCCATGCAATGACATCTCTTCGCGCACGACCCACTCTCTTCAGCCCATCCCAACCCAACCTTTCCCATTACCAAACACTGAATGGAGGGGAGAGAGCCGACAGCCGCCCGGGAGGAGGCAGTGTGGTAAATGATGGGCCCACCGAGCGGCGGCGAGCGGCGGTAAGCGGAGGTAGAGGCACGCCGGGTCGCTCACTTTCCCCACACCGCCGCCGTCACCCAGCAACACTCCGGCAGCGGAGGCTCCCGCCGACGGCAGCGCCAGTCGGCCGGGCGACTGGTGCGCGAGCGCCCGCGCCCGTGAAACGGTACAGCGAGCCCGGTGGACCGAGCCATTGTGAGGCGGTACAGTGTCTTCAAGGGACATCCGTCCATCAGAGACGAAAACGGAGACTCTAGGAAAGGGGAGACGGAGACGAAGGCGATAGAACGGCGAAGGCGACGGCGGCGGTGGAGCAAAGCGAAGAACGGTGTACTCGTATGTGATCAAGAAGGCTGTGTGGAAGCCAGTGCGTTCTTGTGATCGCGGAAAGGTGATCAGGGCACAAACAGGAATGCATAGGTGAGACAGTGGCAGTGATACGATCCAGAATGTGCAGTGGTGAACAGAGTATATAGTGGTGAACTCCAGTGACCGGAAACCCACGAGGTTGACCTTGACGAGCAAGTGACCTAATGGTTAGGTCTCAGTGACCGGGTGGCCTACAAAGCAGGTAGCACTGACCTGAGTGGTGTAGTGTTCGTTGGACTGACCTTGCTGGAGAAATCCAAGAGACCTCAGACGAACGGAGAGCCGCCGGAGAACCGCCTATCGTGATCTCGATGATCCGGCATTGTCATAAACGCTCACCTGTGGGAGTGTCGTAACAGTTAATCATCTGCGGTCAATAGGACGGAGCGGTTATAAAAACGAGGCGTCACAAACAGCGGCACAGCAGCAACATGGGTCGACTGAGGTGAGAAATAGTGACGCTATGTGCAAATGCTAGGGACAATTATCACTTCATAATTAAGTCATAAACCCGATACTGAAGGCAGCACCTGAGTGCTCATTCTCTACGAAACTGTTAGATAAGCCCAATTAACAAGCGAACATTGAGGTATAGTCAGACTAGCAATTATATCGATCATCAAAAGTCGAATAAGTTGACTGAAACATGCCACCTAGAAATTCACATACATTATCTAGGAATGTGACGTGTCGTTTCTGGGGTCACCCCTGTGCCCAGCGTCATTGACTCCGTCCCCAGGCGCTGTTCGGTGGCGGCGCTGCTGCTGGCACTCATCACTCTTCTCTCGCTGCTCCTCTCGTCGCGACGGCTGCTCGACAGACGCACCCCCGTCGCTCCCGACGACAGGGTGCCGCTCAACCGTCTCCTGACCGTCGGACTCACCGCCACGGCCGGAGGTCTCACGGACACCGCGCGGCCGGGAGGAGCGGTAATGACGGGTACGTATGAGAATATCCGTCCGACAGACATTGTCCGCTGTAGGAGTCGGTTCAGGCAAATAATTACCTTGTTGTGTTGCTAGGTAATTAATGAACTAGGTACCTTTAAAGTACAAATATTTGAAAGGACCTTGAAGGTTTTAGTATTTGCAATGTCGCTGAAGCAAAATACTGCTCGTTCCTCCACCCCGTAGTCATTTTATGATAAAAGGCACTGTCAGTGTCAAACTATGACATGACTAAATTTGTCTTATGGCTACTGACATGGCTGATTTCTGTTGCTATTATGCCTCGTACAAAACAGATAAGGCTGCTTACGTAGTCACTTTCACTCAGTCAAAACAATCAAACATCAGTATTCAGTAGACCCCGAATGCCGAGTCACGATTGCGAAGTGGAAAAGCTGTTAACTGCCTGGAGACATTGATAGGTAGAAAGTATAACACAAGAAACGTGATTGACATCGAGCTAGCATTGATATTTGAAAGACATAAAAGCAACCAACAAACTGCTTTATATAAATTAGTAAAAATATCCCATTTATACTCAAACATTTGGCTTCTCCATCCAAGTGCGTAACTCCATACCAACGCTGTTGTGTTTTGTAGGCTTTTCGAAAGGACGTAAGGAGGAAAAATGCAAAAGCGAATAAACAAATAGGCTTTCTGTACCAGGTGCCACGCTTATCGTAAAAGTGACCAAGGCTTCTCTCCGGCAGCATCAACAAAGGAAGCACGCCTCCCAGAGATCACCGGAGCACCCGAGGTCAAATATCTCCCAGAGGTCACCGAGGTCACCGAGGAGCCGTTTGACCTCGGCCCGGACCCATTCGACGAGACTGCGCGCGAGGAGGCTCTGCGTCATCTGAGTGAGCTCCAGGTGCGGCTGGCCCCCGCCGGGGGTCGGCCCCAGGTCGTCATCGACCCCGCCTCGGGCGTGCCCCTATTCGCCGAGGAGCCAAACTGTACGAGGTGCGCCGACGGAAGACGATAGCGCGCAACCGTCCGGCCAACGCGTCGGAGATATCGGCCGCGCTGCGGCTGCTGCAGCTACAGCTGGACACGGAGAGCGGCCAGCTGCCCGACCAGCTGCCGCCGCCCGTCTTCCTGGCCACCACGTGGCGCTCAGGCTCCACGTTCCTGGGCCACGTGCTGTCGGCGCCGGCCGGCGTGTTCACCCACTACGAGCCGCTGTCGGCGCTGGGCGTGCACCAGGCCCGCTCCGATCAGCAGCGCCGCGCCGCCCAATTCACGCTCGACGAGCTGCTCGCGTGCCGCTACAGCCGCATCCCAGACTACATGAACGCTACGCGCAGTAACACGGAGGACATGCTATCGCACAACCCGCGCATCTGGAGCGCGTGCCAGCGCGGCCCCAATCGCAACGCGTGCACCAACGAGGCGTTTCTGAGCGCCGCCTGCCGGCTGCTGCCGCTGCACGTGTTCAAACTGGTGCGGCTGCGGCTGCGCGAGCTCGAGCCGCAGCTGCGCGCCGGCGCTCGAGTGGTGTATTTGGTGCGCGACCCGCGCGCCACACTGAGCTCGCGTCTGAGCTCGGTGCGCTGGTGCCGCCGCTCGGACGAGTGCGTGCAGCCGGCGCGGCTCTGTGCCGACATCGAGGACGATCTGGCAGCGCTGCGCGAGCTGCAGGCGCGCTTCCCGGCCGGCCTGCGCCTGGTGCGATACGAACAGCTGGCCAC